GCATTTTCCAAAATGCCTGGCCGGTCAGGCATTTTGCAAATTGCCTAGTCATTTTGCAAAATGCCCGAGTTTTCACTTTGCCTGTAACATATATATATATATATATATATATATATATATATATATATATATATATATATATATATATATATATATATATATATATCTCACACACAGGAGATACATTGCGACGTCTCACAATGCACAGGAACGCAGGTGGCCCACACGACCACATGGAACACGACCATGACCACAGCCTGACCAGACAGGAGCTGAATGACAACACCTGCATCATCAAGTCCTGTAACAGCCACAGGAAACTCTGGATCTTTGAAGCCCTGCTGACATCGAAGAACACACCATTCATTAACAAACAAATCAAGTCTTGGCGCACTACTGAGCTATTCGGTGGTGCCTTCTGAGGGGTGATAGTGCACCCTACTATGTAGCAGTTTTAGGCCTTATTTTATCTCATGTTCAGACGTTTATATAACTAGGAAACATCATTTAGCTATATCAATAGTGCCTATCATTTTAAAGCTCGAGCTAGCTCGTTTTGATTTAAATATCAAACCCAAAACACTGATTTTGAGCGCATATACTGATATTTTGCTTTGTGTATGATATATGTATCTAGTGTTTATTTATTTATACGAAAGGCTCTGACGATGACGAATGATCGTTGAAACCGGTTAGCCAATATGTCATTAGGTGATATAATATATCGACTTCCGAACGAAACCAAAACGCTTATTCGACACATAGAACAAACTGAAAAGAAACGAATCAAATGCAAATACGCTCTGGCTTTCAACATCACATGCAAAAATGAAGACATTCTGCCGAAGTATACGAATATATATATATATATATATATATATATATATATATATATATATATATATATATATATATATATATATATATATATATATATATATGTTGCAGGCCCTTTAGAAAATCAGTCATTTTGTAAAATGCCTAGGCATTTTGCAAAATGCCTGATTTTCCAGGCTTTTTGCAAAAAGCCTAGGCATTTTACAAAATGACTAACTCTCCAGTCATTTTGCAAAATGCCTAGGCATTTTACAAAATACCTAGCCATTTTACAAAATGACTGAGCAGCGTGTTGTAGATACGAGTTCCTAATTATATACGTTTTGGTAGCGTGTATGTGGACCGAGGAGTCCAGCATTATGACCAGAGGAGTCCAGCAGTGGGAAGTCCATACCTACTTCTCTCTATTTTGAGAAGTGCAGGCCCGCGACATTTCCAACCCCCACGTCAGCGACGCTGCTGGATTTAAAATGATCGATCTGGAGCGTCAACAAACGACTGGCCCTATGCCGGCCTGTATATGTAAAACCATTAGAGGTCGCGAGGATTCGATCCCACACACTTAGGCGTTAGTGTCTTCTGAAACCAACGCTCTCGTCCTACGCCAAGCGACCTGATGATTCTCCCGATGTGGAGCTTGATATTTTTAACTGGGACCATGCCAGTAGGTACTCAAAGCTGTCAAACAAAGACACAATCAAACAAAGACTACACTCATTCGTTTACATGTAATTGTACATCAACCGGGCCTGCCTATTGACTAGGGCCGGTCTCCGGCTGGTTTTGTTAGGTCTAATTTCAGGCAGAACGTGAACGGCGTTGATGTACTTGGGAGTTTTTACAGCGTTAACTAAACAATGCTTTATGCTACAGCCGAGTCTGCAACTCAACCTGGTCGTTACTCAGCATTGTCGTCATCACAGAGCTTCAAATCGATCAGCTACAGGCTGAACACGTACCTATAGGGTATAGGAAGACGTCCAAAAACTTTGGCCATAGTATCTGTAGTGGGATCTACGTTCCATGCTGGTCAGGCATTTTGCAAAATGCCTAGTCATTTTGTAAAATGGCTAGCCATTTTGAAAAAAGCCTGGTTGCGTTCAGTCATTTTTCAAACAGCCGTCTTTTTGTAAAATGCCTAGGCACTTTACAAAATGACTGATTTTCTAAACTGCCTGCAACATATATATATATATATATATATATATATATATATATATATATATATATATATATATATATATATATATATATATATATATATATATATATATATATATTCCGAAATTGCCCATGGCCATCCGTGAGGCCGTTTCCAACCATAGTGCAGTGGTAGCATACTTAACCCGCGCACAGGTGCGGTTCTTTGCCACTTTCGCCATGTGATGGAGCCTTTTAAGCCACACTTAGCAATCTAAAAACTCTGAAGACTCATTCTGGCCTCTAAGCCCCTCTTCGGCAACAGAGTGAACGACTCTGGCCTCAGCCGGCCTCATAATGGCCTCAGGAGACCCATACTATTGCTGACCTCCCAGGACCCCACGCTGGCTCTTTGTCTTGGGAGCCTTTGAGTCAGTCTGATGGCCCTATGCCGCTCTCGAACCCACGCCGGTCTCTAGAAGCCCATGCTGCCCTCTGAGGGTTCCGCGCCGGCTTCTAAGGGCCACTCCTACATCAGGGGGCTTAAACATGCATAAGATCTGAAGTATGGCTGCCGTGGCCCTCGAAGTGGCCTCTAATGGCCCGACGCCAGCCTATGAAGGCCCCGTGCTGGCTTCTGAGGGCCCAGCACCAGCGTCTGAAGTCAGATGACAGCTGGCCCCACGCTTGTCTCAGAGGGTTCACGCTGGTCACATAGGGTCTCACACTGGCCTCAGAGGGCTCCACATTGTCTTCAGAGGGCCCCAAGCTGGTCTCAGTGGCCAGTGGGCCTCAAACTGACTTCAGAAGGCCTCACACCGCTGGGCTTAGAAGACCCCAAGCTGGACATAGACGGCCCCAAACTGAACATGAGGGTCCCACACTGGCCTTAGAAGGCCCCACACCACACTGTCCTTCTTAGAAATCCCCACAATGGACTTAGAGGGCCCCACGCTGGCCTTAGAGGGCTCCACGGCTGGCCTTAGAGGGCTGCGCGCTGGCTCCTTAAGGTTCCACGCCAGCGCCAAAGGGTCCCACGCCCAAGTCTAAGCTTCTGTAGGACCGCCGAAGCGGCCTCTGAAGGCCCCACGCTAGCCTCTGGGGCTCGGCCTCAGCCTCTGAGGGCCCTGAGACGGCCTATGATGGCCCTACGCCGGTCTCTGAGGGCCATTGAACGGCAAATTTAAGATAGTTTGACGTAGTTGACTTTATTCAATGACTTAATGGCATAATGACTTTATAAGTTTGGGCCAGTACTTCGGATAAGGCCCTGTGAAGGTCGTTTTTCTTGGGACACCCCCCAGCCAGCAATTCGTTTGGGGAACGTGCGGGGACAGTGTTGGGGAAAGCTTGGGGAGAACGTACAATTCCCCTATCGGATCGGGGGACGGTCCGTGTTCCCCATCCCTTCCCCGACTGTATCGGTAATATGTTCAAAAGACATGGGGAAATCATACCGATCCCCGTACGGGGAAAGAGCAGCATTCCCAAATCAAACCCCACTGTTGGGGTTCGGTCGGGTAAAAGATCAGATTCCCCGTACGGGGAAGGGTGCGTCATCCCCGACCCATTTTGAAGAACAGTTTGATTGGGGAAAAGTAGGGGAACTGTTGAAATTCCCCGCTCGGGATTTTAAACTTAATCCCCAGACGAATCCCAACCGCCAGTAGGACGTCTTGAGATCGACTTCCAGCATGTAATTCCACAAGTATTCAATAAAGAAAAATTGCATCTTGGGAATGCTAAAAGCTGTCTTAGGAGCAGTTCTAGAGCTATAGGCTCATCCATCGATTGAAGGGAGATATAATAAAAAATATAACGATATAACGATTTTTATAACGATATAACGATATAACGATATAACGATTTTTTATCATCGTTTTCATGACAGGTGATCTGGCGAATGCATCAAACCTGACCGAATTTGCACCAAATCTCGTTTTCATATCTTCATATCATATATATATATATATATATATATATATATATATATATATATATATATATATATATATATATATATACCTATTTATTTCAGTGTTTTAATCGAAAATAATGTCTAATAATTGATCAAATCGGCACCGTATCTGGACCAAATGTCTACCAATTGTGTACTAGTTACCTATCATGAAAACGGTTATTCGCAGACATTTGATTGTAGACATTTGGTCTATGTAATTTTCGACCTAAAAGAGAGGTAAAGCCGTCTTGGTTTACGGGGCCTGCTAAGTCGTGAGGATGAGGACACGCACACGTCATTACTTTGAACGAACGTTGGCAAGATACCTATAAGAAACAGGTAGATCCGATGTTTGAAAGTAAAGCCCCAGTCACAAATTTGACGCACCTGTGACATTTCCTGACACCCACGTGACTATTGTATTAACTTTTGTGTTTTGCGATGTTTTGACCTTATTTGAAGCACTGAAAGCTCAAAATGTATGGTTAATGTTGTTTAAAGCAGCATATTAATAATTATGTTTGTAAATTATCGATAGCTGCTTATAGCAGGTCACGTGATTGCTACCAGATTATGTGCTCAGAAAGCATCTTTTCAACTTCGATTTTGAACAATTTTTACCTCCTTTGAGACCAAATGATGGACGGTTTGGGGCACACGATGAAATGCTGAATCTATTGATGCCAAAATTTGTTCGTTTTTTGCATTTTTAGACTAGTATATCCTGGCTCAAACTTTGACCAGTTTGTGTGTAAACCCTATGGTGAAGGGAAAACTTCACGCCCAGCAGGCCTCATTACAGTGCTGCCAAATCGTGTTTGGTGGGGGTCGGAACGTTGGTGCCCTTACATCATGAGGTAAAAACAACTTTGACAACTTTCAGGATCTATGTTTCTTCTCGCAATGCTGTGGCATAAACATTGCGTTTTTTTCTTCTGTCACCACTCATCGCATTGAAATTACAAAAGCATCAAAATTTCAACAACACACTGCTTACGACTTACAAGGACTTAGAAGTGTCGGCTCAACGCAGCGAGGGGAGGGGAGGGAGGGGTAGCAACGACCGGCCGCCGTCGGTTCCGTCCGCACATCTGGTTGAGGGGCGTCTCCTGTCGTCATCTGTCATTGTGAATGGGGCCGTGCCGACGTGTCAGAGGGGACGAACGGGGGAAGTCGGTCCAGAGTCACTGCGCCGCGCGGTTGTGTGAGCAAGCCGTGGGCTAGGTACATACCGCTCCAGGTCAGACCATGGTTGGCACTGAAGAGTGCAGCGACACTGCAGAACTGTGAACGAAGACGGTGAACGGCGAGATGTGGTGACCGCTTGACTGACCTGTGCCCAAAGTCGTGATCTACCGCTGGGGTCAGTGCGTGAGAAGCTGGACTCGGCACCAACGGAGGACGCAGCTCGACGAGGAAGCTATGCTGTGTTGGTAATCAACTAAAGCACTTAACTGTAACGAATCCATGACAGATATGAAATGACGATACTAACTCAAGTTTATTGTAAAAGACAAAGCTTTCAAAACACACAATATCTTGATCACTGTCTAGGATATGCAGAATATGACGTAAAAATGACTGAGGTCATCAACCTCCGTCTGAGATTATCCTTAAATTGCCCGGACAATATAATGTCATCAGCCTAATGCTTCATCTGCTTCTGTTCTAGAGGGACGTCTGCCGGTTACGACCGGAAGGTTTCCAACGGGACTTGGCAGAACCCATAACAGCAGTATGAACCCGGCATGGAGTTAATGCGTAATTGCTCGCATGAGCAACCGAAGAGCGACTTCCAGGCGAGGCTGGTAAGCAGTTTATGGGGGTGGAGGTTAGCTTAGAGCTGTTGAATAACCTGTCCTTCACCCAAGTCTTAACCCGCGCCCTGCTGGGGGGGGTGTTTGAACACCCCCCCTTGTGGTTTTTCGCGAATATCTCAAAAACGGCGGCGCGGAGCGCCGCCGTTTTTGGTACACCTTATCATACATCAATTCTACACAAGTTGTGAAAATTTCAGACCAAGGTCATTCAAGGTCAGGTCACCAGGTCACTTGAAGTGACCTCACCTCATAAAAAAGTTTCAATGTCTGTCATAGCTACACCGAGTGACCGATCGCTTTGAAACTTTCAGCGATTGCTAAGAGCAATAGCATGTACAAAATGTATATCTCAGAATTTTGATATCGATGACCTAAGGTCAGGTCAATTTTGCGACCTCCCCATTATAAGTCAATGGGAGAAAATTGAAATGCGCCTCTTTTGGTCGAAAGACATTATAAACACTCCCCAACACCGAATTACAAGTGGTTTAGACACACTGAACATGAAAATGGTGTCCGTGACCCTTGTTTATGCCCTGAGGTCATCTTAGGTCACGAATGGTATCTAACAGTTTTTCGCAAATAACTTTTGATAGAGGCATGCTAGAGCGATGAAAATGCCTTAGATGTGTTCAGCTCGACGATACGGATCGACTGATATGCAACATGACCCTTTCCGGTCAGGTCATGACCTTGACCTGAGGTCAAATTTTCAAGTTGACCTTTCAAGGTCAAGTTATAGTTCATTCGATGCGTCTTGACGAGAGGAACACGATGCCGGTAAAAGTAAGCTCGTACAGGGCTTGGGTCAAAAGTTATTGCAGAAAAACTGTTTCCGAAAAAATCGGCTATTTTTGCAGTTTTTGCCCCCTGCAGGCAAAACCGTTGGCGTTAGGTCAAATCTGAGAGAATTACTCAGAAAGGGCGTTAATAGGGCTATCGAATGCGCTTTTCCGCGGCGCTGTAGCTCTATTGGTTCCCGAGTTATGCGTTGGCTTCTTGGAAATTTTCGACATTCGACCTGGAAATCGGCGAAATTTTGCCTTCAATGACCTCTGGTGACCTGACCTTTGACCTGACCAAAAAATTGACCGAAGTGATTTCGTCATTATTTTTGACGCTCTTTCGAACGCCGCCTTCCGCGTATCGCTACGTGGCCCAGGAGCCGAGTTACAAGGGGGGGTGTTCAAACACCCCCCCCCCCCAGCAGGGCGTGGAAATCCAGGACCCCCAGCCGGGCGCGGGTTAAGGCTGAAACACACTCTTTCTATGTACAGCCAGAAAATCTCATGCGAGAGCCCATTAATTAAATACATGAAATCACGATCGCATCAACCGCTTACAGGGATGTGCGAACGATTGACGCGATTGTAATAAATTACATGCATTTGAATAGGCTCTCGCATTCCATTTTCTGTCTTCGGAAAGAGCCTGTTTCAGCAGCTCTACTAGACAGCTCTGCTTGTAAAAGGGACTTCATTGTTATCTTGATAAACTAGCAATCGATTTTAATTGTCAAACGGCGTTCATTTATCTGTCAAGTGCTTTCACGAGGAACTTCGTAAGGCGTAATATAGACTTAAAACATTTATTACCTAATGACTTTTCCTGGAATGAGAAATGTTTAGAAGTACAAATTTAATTATTGAATTCTTATTTCCTGTTTTAATTAACTATTCAAAGTATATCACATTCAATTTGTAAGCACTTCTTTTCGTGGAAAAAAGTTATAAATAAGTGTAATTTCATAAAATGGCATTCACCATGTTTCAGCGTAAGCTGAAGTTTCCATATAAGGACATTCCATGTAGTAGCTAGCTGTAAAACCTGATTGATATACCTACAAGTGCACATATTTTTGTTTTTGTGCACAGCCTGGCAGAATTCCTGGAGATGCGCTGGGACATGGATCATAGCAAGGTGGCTCTCAGCGGCAGCTGACCGCTGAGATGTGTCTGAAACAGCCAGAAGGAAGACTCGAGTTGTGGATCCAGGGCACTACTGAACGGAAGGCGGGACCAGCTGTAGGGAGACCACAGCAAAGCCGTCGTTCTCAATCTGCTGAACAGACTCCTGCTGCAGAGGAAAAACTGGGGTTCGACGTGTTAGAACTGGGGTTAGACCAGTTTCCAGTGCTCGTGTTCGTCACCTGTTGTTCGTCACTGCTGTGCTGCTGCTGTATGTCATGTTTGCCACCTGCTAAGCGTTCACAATGTATTTTAAGTGAATAATAGCTTTTTTAGTGTTTGTCTTGATTTGTAACGATTATATCAAGTATGTTAACCTTTCATCAAATGAAGGACTCCACATAACAATAGTATAGGCTGTAATGGTACAGACACATACCATGCTTGGCCGACTGTTGTGTATTTATCTAGTCGTTGAAGCGTCCTGAAAATCTGGAAATAAACAGGCATGGCCAAATGCATTGGTTCTAATTATTTTCCTGTGCGGTTTTATCGTTTCCCTATTGCGGGGAAACAAGTGGACAATTTTGTTTGTATGTAAACAAGTATGTGTATACAAATATTTGTATGTTTACAGACAAAATAAAAAGTCATTGTCAATTTTAATGGGACCCGATCTGTTTCCCAGTGCGGTTTTTTACTGGCTTCTCCGTACGGGGAAAAAAGCGGACAAGGCATTGGGGCCATTGCCAAGTCGGGGAACGGCCGGGGTTCGCGCGGGGAAAAGGTCTGGGAACGTTAGGGGAAAATCACGGTTTCCCCGATCGGGGAAGGTCTCCAGTAAGCATAAACCCGTACAGCCGGGTAGGGGAATGTGCGGGGCTCGCACAGGATCTTCTTGGGGAAAATGTTCGATAGCCCCGTACGGGGAACCGACTTAACAACGGATTTTAACCATAGTCGGCGCGGGGGTAGCTTGGGGGACGTTTGGGGAACGCTTGGGCAGTTATACCGTTTCCCCGTACGAATCCCGCACAAAGTTCCCCGTACAAAGTGTCTCAAATCCCAAGCGAACGCTCCGTTTTCCCCAGGAGAACGGTTGGGGTTTCCCCGAGCCTGCCCCAAGCTCGCCATAGGCCTTCCCCGTACGGGGAAAGCTCCGAATTGCTGGCTGGGCCAAGCATGCACGTACCCAGGATTTCGCCCAAGAGGGGGCAACCTGCTCTCAAGGGGGCCCCGGGTTACCTGGGGACCACTGTAAACCCAGGCAGGGGCGTATCCAGAACATTTCGATGGGGAGCGGGATTGGGCACAATGGGTCTGGTTCCCCCTTGCGGACGGGCTCCTCTGTCTGTCTGTCTCACCGTTTGCCTGTCTGTTTGTCTGTCTAAGCCCTGAGAAAATGTGGAAAATTGGCAGATAAAACTATCATTTTGCCTGAGAAATGTACATAAAATGCACGGTCTTTTATAAAGAAACGAAGCGAGCGAGCCCCTCAGAGTCACCGGTGTTGGTCCCTCAGACGTGTCTGTGAAAGGCCGTCAGATGCGCTGGTGTGGGGTCCACACAGGCGCCGTTGTGGGGGTCTTTGGGCTTATTAGAGACGCTGGTAGGGGCCGTCATAGGCATGTATGGGGCCCGGAAAGTTACTAGTGGCCCTTCATAGGCCGGCAAGAGAACCTTAGATGCCGGTAGGAGGCCCTCAGAGTCGCTGGTAAGTGGCCGTTAGATGCGCTGGTATAGGGCCCTCGAAGGCGCCAGTGAGCGGGCCTTCAGAGCTGCCGATGTAGGCCGTTAAAGGTAGTGTGCCACCTTTGAAAGATTTCCCATTTTATTTTTCCTAGGATAAGAAGCTTCTGTTTTTACCTAATATCGCAAAAAAAAAATCAAAACTGGGCCTGGAATAGTGCCTTTTTCGCCTAAAAGTTTTTCGGTTTTTAGACATGTATAACAACTGTAGTGGGCTCACCTGCAAACAGGCGTCGGGCAACAATCGCGAATGCGGCGCACTTGTGACAATAAGCAAAGGTCATTATAGTGTTACGACCATACGACGTACGGGAATGAGTTATCAGCTGTCTAATCGTAGACAACACAATGTCGAGCCTTAAACTGTAAGCCCGTATTGGTATTGTTTCTTTTATTTGGCTGTCGAACATTATTTATGGTTTGAAATATGATTTTATGTAAAATAATTGATATGAAAAAGCCGTCTTATAAGTTATGACCCCATTTCACCACACGCAAGTGGCAGAAATGACAATGATCAGCTGACGCATGTTTCTTGGCTGAAGTCAGAGCGCGCGGCCCGACGCACCACGCGTATTTGGAAATTCCGACCTCGACGAGCATCAGAAGCCACCTAACAGGCGTGTTCGAAACCGCAGGAGATGATGATGAACGGGTTTATCGAAACTTGATTGGATGAGCATATCGGTAATAGCGATTTCAGTGTGTGCATTTATTGTTCATAGTGGTGTGAAATGTGGTTGGGGTACGACCGACAACCCGTCGGGGCGAATTTCGCACTGGGGTACTCAAAATTTGAAGAATTTAAGACGTTTCCATGAGTTTTGAAGGTATGGATAAGTTCTAAAAATCCGGTTCTCCTTATCTGGGCCATTAACTCCATACGGTCCAAGAAAGCTGGCACACTACCTTTAAGAGACGCTGGTGTGGGGCCCTTAGAGGTGGTGGTGGCCGGTGAGGGCCCTCCCAGGCGCCGTTGTAAGGGCCCTCAGAAACACTGGTGTGGGCCGTGGGGGAATAACAAACAGATGTGGGACCCTTACAGCTGATCCCTCATTGGCCGGCAAGGGCCATCAGAGGCCGGCAAGGTCCTTCAGAACCTGAGGTGGGGCCCTTCTGGAGATAAGTGTGGCTACATAAGAGCCCATGACGTGTTCTCAAAAGCCGCGTGGTGTCCTTTCACTCCTTTCCAGTTGAAGCGTGGCCAGCGCAGACCCTCTGATGTCAATTGGCACCGTAGGGCCCCTCGGGCCCGAGGGGACCCTAAACCATATAACGGACACGTGTCCCTCACCCCCTGACTATGCCATTGAATCCAAGTGATCAGGGGCCCCTTAAGGCAATCAGGGGCCTCTCAGGTGACTGCAGGGGCTTTTCAATTGATCAGGGGCCCACCAGGTTACCGTGACCAGGAGACCCTCTGATAATCAAAGGCCGGTTATACCAGGGACTCCTCGGGCAACTAAGGGCCTTCAGTGACTGCAGAAACCCTTCAGATAACCAGGTACTCCCCGGGTAAACATGGGACCCTCAGGTGACCAGGGCTTCTTCAGATGACTGGCCAGGGGCCATCCAGGGGATCAGGGGCCCCTTGGGTAACTAGGGGCCACTCAGATAACTAGAGGTCCCTCAGGTAACCGGAGGTCCCTCGGGTAACCAGGGGCCCCTCAGGTAACCAGGGGCCCTCGTAACCAGGGGTCCCTCAGGTAACCAGGGGCCCCTCAGGTAAACAAGGGTCCCGTGACCAGGGCCCTCAGGTAACCAGGGCCCCTCAGATAACCAGGGGCTCCTCAGGTGACCAGGGGCCCCTTGGGTAGCCAGGGGGTCCCTTAGACAACCAGGAATCTCTTGGACAACCAGGGGCCCATCAGATAACCAGGGGCCCCTCAAGTAAATAGGGGCTCGTCAGATAACCAGGGCTCCTCAGGTGACCAGGGGGACCCTCAGGTAACCAGGGGCCCCCTCAGGTAGCCAGGGGCTGTCAGGTAGTTAGGGCCCTCTGTGTTCGTGACTGTAATAGATACTGCTCTTTGATATTTGTTTTTCTTCCGAGTAAGAGACATTCTGTAGTACTGGAATTAAGGCAGAGAGGCCCAGAACGCCTTCGTCACGCTGATCCCCTGAGTTATCCTTGGACCTCAGGGGCCCCCGTGGCCCCTTGGGTACGTCACTGCACTCAAGTGACCCAAAGGGCCCACTTGCATGTCTGATCCCAAAGGGGGAGGCCATGGCGTCTTGGCCTCCCCCTGGATACGCCACTGTTACCGGCATGCCGGTAATTTTTCACTACCGCAGGTTTTTTCGTGGTATCTGGCATGTCTTGCCGGTAGCATGCCGGTATTTTTTATTTTGCACAAAACAACATTATCAGCATATGATTCAAACTTTGGACACTAAGAGGCTATTGAATTGTACTAGGGTTGACTATTAAGTAATGGAAGTGCCTTAACCCGCGCCCTGCTGGGGGGGGGGGGTGTTTGAACACCCCCCCCCCCTGTGGTTTTTCCCGAATATCTCAAAAACGGCGGCGCGGAGCGCCGCCGTTTTTGGTATACCTTATCACACATCAATTCTACACATGTTCTGAAAATTTCAGACCAAGGTCATTCAAGGTCAGGTCACCAGGTCACTTGAAGTGACCTCACCTCATAAAAAGTTTCAATGTCTGCCATAGCTACACCGAGTGACCGATCGCTTTGAAACTTTCAGCGATTGCTAAGAGCAATAGCATGTACAAAATGTATATCTCAGAATTTTGATATCGATGACCTAAGGTCAGGTCAATTTTGCGACCTCCCCATTATGAGTCAATGGGAGAAAATTGAAAGGCGCTTTTTTTGGATGAAAGCCATTATAAACACTCCCAAACACTGAATAACAAGTAACTAAGACACACTGAACATGAAAATGGTATCTGTGACCCCTGTGTATGCCCCTGAAGTCATCTCAGGTCACGGATGGTATCTGACAGTTTTTCGCGAATAACTTTTGATAGAGGCATGCTAGAGCGATGAAAACGCCTTGGATGTGTTCAGCTCGACGATACGGATCGACTGATATGCAACATGACCCTTTCCGGTCAGGTCATGACCTTGACCTGAGGTCAAATTTTCAAGTTGACCTTTCAAGGTCACGTTACAGTTCATTCGATGCGTCTTGACGAGAGGAACACGATGCCGGTAAAAGTAAGCTCGTGCAAGGCCTGGGTCAAAAGTTATTGCAGAAAAACTGTTTTCGAAAAAATCGGCTATTTTGGCAGTTTTTGCCCCCTACAGGCAAAACCGTTGACGATAGGTCAAATCTGAGAGAATTACTCAGAAAGAGCGTTAATAGGGCTATCGAATGCGCTTTTCCGCGGCGCTGTAGCTCTATTGGTTCCCGAGTTATGCGTTGGCTTCTTGGAAATTGTCGACATTCGACCTGAAAATCGGCGAAATTTTGCCTTCAATGACCTCTGGTGACCTGACCTTTGACCTGACCAAAAAAGTGACCGAAGTGATTTCGTCATTATTTTTAGCGCTCTTTCGAACGCCGCCTTCCGCGTATCGCTACGTGGCCCAGGAGCCGAGTTAGAAGGGGGGGTGTTCAAACACCCCCCCCCCCAGCAGGGCGTGGAAATCCAGGACCCCCAGCCGGGCGCGGGTTAAGCAATTAAATGGGTTTGCACGTGCACACATTATTTAGGTGTCATTTCATGCGCCGATCTTTTTTCTATCCAATGGTGAAGACCACATGTCCCTAGCTACTTTTTGTTATAAGCTATCGTCGTTTTCCCAAGAGACCTCCCGAACCTGTGGCGCACCACCTGGCAATGGCCAAAGCCGCGCGCCAGCGGCGAGTGCAAGGTCATTAGAGCTCAGTTTGTCGTAGGGAAAAGGCCTACCAATATCAGAAAATTTATTTTCTAGTATGGAGCGACGCAGCCTCCCCACAAACGATATGTCGGTGGTTTCATCGGTTTGAGAAAGAAAGCGCCGATCAGTCTTCTGGCGGCGTTCCAGGAGTGGGTCAAGACGAGGCTGGAATGGTGTGTGATGCTTGAAGGCGATTATTTGAAGTAGTGTATGCTGTCATTTATCGTGCCAATGTGTATTGTTTTGATGAAAATATAGAAATTGTCCATTGTGTAGCCATAACAATAAGCCAATAAGCTCTGATGACCTCGCGCTGGCGTTTGGCGCGCGATTTTGGCCATTGCCAGACTCCTTTTTCATGGTGCGCCGCAGGTTCGGGTGGTCTCTTGGGAAAACGACGATAGCTTGGAGCAAGAAGTAGCTAAGGACATGTGGTCTTCACCATTGGATAGAAAAAACATCGGCGCATGAAATGACACCAAGAAAACATGTGCACGTGCAAAAACGTTAAATTGCTTAAGGCACTTCCATTACTTAATAGTCAACCCTAGTAATAACAGCAATCGCCAATCTTGGCCATTGCAAAATACATTTTGTGGTAGAAGTTCCATTGCTAATGGTAGGGGTAACACATGAACCTCAGCATTTCACAGGTTTGGCTCTAATTAGAATTGTCAAGAATCTACTGTGGTCTATCAAAGGAAGAATACTCATCATGTTGCAAAAGCACAACCAATTATTAAGTCTAATAGTAGGTAATAGGTATAATACAATAAAATAAATAAATGTTCATGGCAACATTCCCTAGGCAAAAGGCAGAATCAAAGCAACACAAAACGAAAACACATTGTTTGGAAACTGGCCTTGAGTCCTGAGATGTGGTCTGGGATACTCTACATAGATATCTATGTCTATAGATATAGAGGATTCTTCATGGCTCCGAGTGGAAGATAAGGATATCTTTTCCAAGCGGGTTACTGAAAAACCGAGCGACGAAGGAGCGAGGTTTTTCTGTAACACGCGAGGAAAAGATATCCTATCTTACACGAGTGAGCCATGAGGAATCCTATATCTTTCTATGTTGAGGTTTATTCTTGATTAATAAAATATTATATTTAAAAGTATTCATCTATGTAAAAATAGATCCAGAGTAGTTTGTTCATATTTCATAAGTTTCATCAATAAACAACCATTAAAAATGTTGTTCGGTTATTGACCCATCATCATTTGAACTCTTGATTTTTCGCTATGAACCCTCGAGACCTTATCTTTGCATCTCAGAG